TCTAACAGTTGTCAAACTGAAAGTTCAATATTCATACGAAATTCTTTGTTCGCTGTTATTAGCTGTTTGTCAGTTGTTCCGTGTCAGTAATCCCAGTACTAGATATGCTCTGTGGCCGTTCGAACAATAACACTTCTTCGTAACTTCTGTTCAATTTTTGCTTGCCGTTTAAATGGACGTAAGGTTATTATAACGGATGTGAAAATGTCACGAATGGTATTAAATGCTAGTCGTTCAAACAATAAGTTAACGTAAAACAATTTTCAAGGAAGATTTAAACATCTAACAAGCAGTTTCATCAGTTTAACAGAGGAGAGTTTCAGTGCCATAAATTAATCGTGACATGATGCGGTCGCGGTCAACGACCGTAAATACTCGATGAAAGGTTTTCGCATGAGTGAACAGTTCATTGTGTTGACCTCAGTACGTTTTTTAAAACAGAAAAGTTTTTAAGCCCATGCTAACTGGGAAACAATTAATGACCAAAATTATTAAACTTCACTGAAAGAACACGTTGCAGGTATAATCTAATACTCAAGACGCTCTATCACACTACGTTACATGTCTTACATGGAACATTTCGTCAGGGGGTTTCAAAGCTTTCATAGGATAGGAAACCCATTTGGATTGCCTTGAAAACAATAATAAACCCTTTGGTAACTCTTTTGTAAGCCGTTGCTAACGCTTTTAAAAGTTCTTTGGAAACCCTTTAGAAACCCGGTTTCAAGGGGTTTCAAAGAGTTTCAAACCCTTTGGAAACACTTTGGAAACCCTTTGAAACTCTTTAGAAACCCTTTGGAAACCCTTTGGAAACTCTTTAGAAACCCTTTGGAAAGCCCTTGGAAACTCTTTAGAAACCCCTTGGAAACCCTTTAGAAACCTGGTTTCAGTAGTTTGAAACCCTTTGGAAACGCTTTGGAAACCCTTTGAAAATCTTTAGAAACCCTTTGGAAACCCTTTGGAAACTCTTTAGAAACCCTTTGGAAACCCTTTTGAAACCCAGTTTCACCCAAATTGCCATGTTTCATAAGACGTGTTTTCGTATGGAGGGTCACATATATTAATTATATCATTTATCTCCAACAACCATATGATACAGGTCTCCCTTTTCCATCATAAGAAGTGGTTATTACTTTGCATCCCTTTGGTTTCTTTGGTGCTACATAATTATTTCCTGTGCTTGGTGCTTTATATGCAACTCCTTCTGAAGGATCTGGATGTTCACCCTTTATATTTTTCCAAGCTCTTTCAAATGTTTTGCCACTCCAAAAATCGTCAAAAGATTTTTTTGCACCTGGTTCTTTTACAACAGCTAAAGTACCTTTTTGAAAAAGATCAACAGCCATTTTTATTGGTCCAAGTCTTCGTACTGTTTCACCACCTTTTCAACTATTCACAAATTTGGTCTTTGTTATTCCACATTCTGCACAAGTACATTTCATCATCAGTCTTCCATTTTTAACTGTGACATATTTTCCACTACGGCAGTGGGAAGGGTATACCGGGAGAAACGACACAAATTACTTGAGTAGAACGGCTTTATATCAGGGTGGATAGCACGACCACAACTTAATACAAGATGGCGGACCAGGAATGGTGATGCGTCACATGACTGGCCATATACCGCTGACCAGTAATGACACAACCTTTCTTTCTCTTGTTCTCTTACATTTCTTAAGAACTGGAACGAAGGGTGTAAGCTGAATAGCTACTAAACTAGGGGAAGTCCTCTACGTAACAGGTAAACAGTCTCTAATATATGATCGTCTTTCAACTATAACTATACTAATCAATGAAAAAGCTTCAAGAAGTCAAGATAACATATATAAGGTTGATAACATAAACGGGCTAACTACTGGTCATTTGTAAGACGCTGCAGAGTGTTATATATATCAAAAGTCCGTAACGTAGTCCTTGAAGCGCTCAGCTGGGCATCGAGGGCGAGATGACCTTCGTTGGCAGACATCCGTAGCAAGGATGGATTGTACTGGAGGAGAC